TCCTTTCTACATTAAGACCTTCAAACATGCTGTTCCTTCCCTCTAAAGCATTCTCCCCACTCCCACCACTCTCACTAGTTAACTCCTACTCATCCTTCAAATTTCAGCTCAAACATTACCTCCTCTAGACCATCCCCGAGACCTCAAACACATTCTCTCAGCACTGCAATTTTTCTTCATAGGACTTATATAAATAAAATTAAATTAAATAAATAAAATATATATAAATAAATATATACATTTATAAAATATATAAAAAATAAAATTTTAAAATGCATGATTTTTTTAATGGCTCTCCCTCTCACTATACTGGTATGTACATGATAAAGAGACCATGTATATTTAGCACAACGTTGTAGCACACAGCAAGCACTCACAAATATTTGTTAAATACTAAATAAATACAGAATCTAACCTGCCCTAGGAGTTTCAACTGTCATATTATTATTGCAGGTGACTTCAGGATTCATATCTCTTGCCCTGGCCTTGCTTCTGAAATATATACTGCCAGTTCAGCTACAATGTTGCTCTACAATACCAATTAGCTTATAGACAATTGGTAAATAGGAGAACGGTATCAATTTAATGTGATAGTTGATTTGTATGTGGAGCTGAAATTGTGGAACTATAAGCTTCAAAAGAAAGGAAAAAAGCCCTCAGCTTGGCTGCTGCACAGCAGGAGTCCTTACAGATCTAAGATAACTAAAAATAAGCAACTGCATCCAGGGTTCCCACTCAATACAGCATACCCCCAGCCTCACACAGCTCTCTGCTAGTGTATTTCCTTCTGTCTACCTTAACAGCAGCCTCACTGACTCTGAGCTCCACTTTTAACTGCCTCATCTCAGTGCCCACCACAAGCCAGCATCTCAGCTCTATTCTGTATATTTTTAATATCCCCTGCAGCAGCATCCAACCATGCTAAGCCGCCTACCAAGTCTGTCCAAGTTGTCTCCCAAGGCATCAATTATTATTCTTGGTAGTGTTCTGGTTATAAAATTGCTTAGGTTTTGAGTAGTCTGCTCCAGCCCTATTTTCCCATAGCCCTATAGTCTTAGTGTGCAATTTGCAGAACATGTGGTTTTTCAAGAGCAAAAATGCTATCACAGATTTTCCCATAGTTCCAAATAGCTCTTGACTAGCTCCTCAATTAGCTTATACACCCAAAATCTAGGTTCCTTATCTCTGTTAGTAGTCCAAAATCAAATTATTAGAGTTATTGATGTCTCTCTCCCTCCCTCTCTCCCCTATATTCAATCGCTCCACACGTTCGATCAATTTTCCTTATGCATGGTCTCTCACATCTCTTCCATTACCATCTGCCATAACTGAAAGCTTCAGCACCTCTCCTCTGAATGAATTTTACAGGCTTCAAGGTAATCATCCACCTTCCAGGCCCTCCTCATTCCAAACCAAACTTCACTATACTCAAAGAACTATCTTCCCAAAAATGCAAATCTGATTGTGCTATTCCTCTACTCAAAAACCTTCAATGGCATTCTACTTTGCATTCAAGGCCCCAAACCACTGCTCCAATTTTATTTCACACTGAATACCCCATTCACTTTACACTGTAGCAGAGGTAAACCATACAAACCGTTGAGCACACTGCTGGCAAAGACACTCAATAAATATTAGCTATTACTGTCACAGATTACCCAGTATTACAGTCAGTTCAAAGAATGTCATCTCCCTACCCTTAATTTTAAGCATCTTAAGTTCCTCCTCTTTGTATTATTAGAGACAAGGGTCAAATCTTGGTTGTGTCACTTACTAGCTGTAACCTTGAGCAAGTTATTTAGCCTTCTGAGGCTCAGTAAAATTAGGATAATATCCATGTCATGGGGTTGTTGAAAAGACTAAATGACATAGCATATGGAGAATGCCTAGAAGAAAAGAGACATCAATAAATGTTAGTTTTCATAAAAAGTGTTCGCTTACAGAATGAACACAGAACTAACTGCTTGCTTGCTTTCTCTCACAACTAGGCAGGTTGAGAGTAGCACTCAAAGAAATTGGTTTAACAACAAAATATATCTTTATTCCTCTGAGATAAATGCTTATTCCAAAAAGATAAGATTTAAGAGAATCTTTTTCTATGCTACTAAGCAAAAAAAAAGTTATTGCTATGGAACTATACTTTACTAGATGATATATACTGACTAATGTGAATTATTTTATTAAATTTACTGAGACTCAACATATACCTAGTCCCTATGCAGAACTAGTAGTTATTTAGTCAGTTCTAACAATTAACTACTACAAACATATAAACACATGCAAAAATAAGAGAGAGCTTCAATACTTATGCATAATAAATTCCATAAAAAATGGGCCCACCTACATACATATTTTAAAAACCCAAATATAGCAAAAGGTTCTTATATATTCATTCAAAGAATTCATCTGATTTGATTTATACCACAGGCTTTCACATTATAGCATTATAAGAGTTTCTTTAAAATTAGAAAGCAAAGAAGGGAGAAAGAATAAGAGGGAGGGGAACGATGGTACCAAAACATCCCAAGTTAGTCTTTTCCCATTTTACTTTGCTTTTTCCTCCCTCCCACTTGTTTTGCCTAACTGTTTTTCCTACTTTACAGTAAGAAAAGAATGACAGAGTCTTTTTAATAAACAGTGCTGGGACAACTGGACTAACAGTAAAAGAATAAAGTTGGACCCCTACTTCACATCATATATAAAAATTAATTCAAAATGGATCAAAGACCTAAATCTAAGAGCTAAAATTATAAAACTTAGAATAACACACAGGCATTAATCTTTGTGACCTTGGATTAGGCAACAGTTTCTTAGATACAACACCAACAGCTCAGGCAACCAAAGAAAAACAGATAAATTGGACTTCATCAAATGAAAAGCTTTTGTGCTTCAAAGGATATCATCAAGAAAGTAAAAAGACAGACCACAGAATGCGGGAATATGTCTGTAAATCATATATCTGATAAATGTCTAGTTTTCAGAATATATAAAGAACTCTCACAACTCAACAATAAAAAAAATAAGATTTAAAAACAGGCAAATTATCTGAATAAACAGTTGTCCAAAGAAGATACACAAATGGCCAACACGCAAATGAAAAGATGATCAACATCATTAGTCATTAGGGAAACGCAAATCAAAAACACAGTGCAATACCACTTCACACTCACTAGGATGACTATCATCAAAAAGACAGACAATAACGAGTGCTGGCAAGGATGTGGAGAAATTAGAACACTCACACACTGCTGGTGGAAACATAAAATGGTGCAGCCACTTTAGAAAACACTTTGGCAGTTCCTCAAAAAGTTATACACAGAGTTACCACATAACTCTTAGGTATATACACCCAAGAGAAATGAAACTACATCCACACAAAAACTTTTACGCAGATTTTCAAAGCAGCATTATTCAAAATAGCCAAAAAGTGGAAACAGCCCAAAAGTCCATCAACTGAGGAATGCATAAACAATATGGTATATCTATACAATGGAACATTATTCAGCTACAAAAAGGAATAAAGAACTCATACACGCTATGACATGGATGAACCTTGAAAACATGCTAAGTGCAAGAAGCAAGACCACATATTATATGACTCCAATTTACATGAAATGTCCAGAATAGGCAAATCCACAGACATAAAAAATTGATTAGTAGGGTCGGCCCCACAGCATAGTGGTTAATTTTGGTGCGCTCCACTTCAGGGGCCCAGGTTCACGGGTTCGGATCCCGGGCGTAGACATACACCACTAGTCAGCCATGCTGTGGCAGCGACCCACATACAAAATAGAGGAAGACTGGCACACACATTAGCTCAGAGCGAATCTTCCTCAGGGAAAAAAAAAAATCGATTAGTGGTTGCCAGGAGCAGGGCTCAGGGCGGGGTAAGGAGAAGGGGAAGGGCGGAGGAAGTGATCGCTACTGGGTACACGGTTTCTTTTAAGAGTGATGAAAATGTACTGGAATTAGATAGTGATGATGGTTGCACAACTTTGTGAATATACTAAAAATCACTTAATCGTACACTTTAAGAGTGAATTTTATGATACAATTCTATCTCAATTGAAAAAAAAAAGAATGATAGAGGAATGAAAAGCAGCACAACTCAGGAATGAAGCAAGTGTTCCTTTTACAACCTAGCATTTTCAGCACACTTACTATGTTCCAGACCTATTCTAGTTACTAGGAACCCAAAGAAGAGTAAAACAAAGTCCTTATACTCTCTTCAGGCTCATTTGCCTTAACCTACAAACGTTTTACTTCTCAAAAGTGGAACAGCTTTAAAAACGCAAAAACAGCAAATATAAGCCATAGACAATCCAAAAGAATGCAGATACTTACATTATAAACTCCTCTAACATTACCTAGAATTTTTTTGGGGGGGTTTCACTAAATACGGGGGAGGAAGAAGAGATATGCTTCTAATATTGGTGTTAAATAACTAATGTCCTCAATGCTGATACTGTCACTTTCCAAGAATTATTATTTAATAGCTTCATTTCATTTATTTGAAATGATTTTTATAAATAATATTTTTAATAAATCTTTCTTAATCATATCACTTTGAATGTATTTCTTTCTCAGTGACTCCTGGATTCTCTATTTCTGACATTCAAAAACCTCATGAGAAACACAAATATCCTGAAAGAAAATGCCTTTTAACACTTTATTAGAATATCCATATGAAAACTTGTTTTTCTGTAACAAGAATAAGTAACAACAGAGTTCTAAACTAAGAAACCAAATGTTTTGGGCTCTAATCCCAGATTTTTATGAATCAGAGAAAATCTGATTTCCTGATATGAAAGCTGCATTTCCATAAAAGAACAAAAATCAAAAAATCAAATTTAGACAGAAAACTGTGTTGAATAGTACTTTAAACAGTGCAAAAAAGGCATGTTGTACTTAATCCAAAACATTAGATATTTCTGATACTTTTAATACATTATTTATATTAACTTCCCAAAAGGTAAAACTAAAATCTACATTATTATTACCTTATCTTTGGCCTCAGGCAGTGTGATTTCTCTAGGTTCTAAAAATGGTATTTCTCGAAAAGGTGGAACACATCTGACTACATCCGGTACATAGTGTGTATGAAACAATGGCGGCATTGAGCATCCTCTTTCACCTGATAAAGGCACTATGTGGTTAACTATAGTTGGCTCTTGGTGGGGTGAATGAAAACGCTGCCGTTTACCATCAAGAGGAAGGTTTTTTTCATCGCTTAATCTCCTGAAAACAAGTAATATACCTTAGTGATTAAAGATATAACTTTCTGATACAAATAGAAAACAATTAAAAATATATAAATAACAATATTGACCCTTTCAGCAAGGCCACATTACTAGCTCTGTATGAATCTTTAAAATATTCATTTTCAGCATAAGGGATGCCTTAGAAAAATACTTCAGGAAAAACGAGTAGTAATAAATGCATATAAAAAAAAACAATCTACATATATACATTAGGGTTAGTCTCTTGCATTTGAACTACCCCAATGTTTCATCTCAGCAGTGAAAACTTCCTATTTTATAGAACCACTAACAATAAAAGATCCAAACTCTAACATAAGGAGGATAAGACTAAGTGAACTGAGTGCTATAAATTTAAAAAGGCTCTTTGAGTCCACCTATGTCCTGGCTCTAGGAAAGACCAAATTAAGAAATATTCACTTTTTAAAAAAGCTATAAAGACATTGAATGACTAAGGAAATTTGAAAATAAACTGCATTTCAGATAACAGTATTGCATTAATGTTAAATTTCTTGGGCATGATTGATGTAATTTGGCTATATAGGAGACTATCCTTGCTCTTAAGAGGAATGTACTGATGTGCTTTGCGGTAAAGTGAAATGATGTCAACAACTTTCTTTCACATGGTTCAGAAAAAAAAATGTGGGGGTAGGGAGAAAAAGAGGCAGAGAAAAAACAAATGTAGCAAAACTTTAATTGATGAAGCTAGTAAACAGGATATAGGTGTTCCTTGCATTATTTAAATTTTTCTGGAGGCTTAAAAATTTTCAAAATAAAAATGCAAGGGGAAAACAATTAAAAAGTAATTATTTGTTGGAAAAAAGGATTTATTTCATTGATATAAAAAAGTTGGTCAAGTAGGTAATTCTTTACGCCATCAGAAATGGTCTGGTTCCTTTTAAGCTTTAAAATTCTATGGGTCATAGCCACCTGAAGGTTTTTATTACAACACTATTTTCAGATTATGCCAATTCCTCTCTCCTTGACAGATCCACAAAATAACTGGAACTTCTACTCACAGATAAAAATGTATAGTACTAAAAACACAAGAGTACATTTAATATTTTTTAAACATAAAAGTAATTTAGAGCTTTATATGCTGAATATCTTCTATTGAGAATGTCAATTTTTGTTTTAAAAATATGTGTAACTAGGAGCTAATGGAATTTATTTTCATTCATGATTCACAAATTGGCTATCAAGGCAACTTCCAAAAAATAAAAATCGGAATAAAGTCAATACTTTTAGCATAATTATAGGGCTTTCCACAATGACAACTTTGAAGAACAACACACAGTGCTTCTAAGCATGGGATGTGGAGCCAGGCCACGTGGGTTCAAATCCCAGCTATGCCACTTCTACCTGAACAACTAACTGCTTAACCTCTGTGTGCTTCAGCTTTCCTCCTTTCAGCTGTCAGTTCTCCTCAACAGTACCCACCTCACAAAGTGCTGTGAAACTTAATCAAATCATTATTTGTAAAGTGCACAGAACAATGCCTACTACATAGTTAAGTGATCAACAATTTTTAGCTAGTGTTATTTTTAATTGGACATAAAAGTTATGGAATCTTTATATAGGCTATAAATAGCAACATCTTACAAATATTGCCAAATCTTATTTTAATAATCACCTTTAAAGTTCTATTATAATTACTTCTTGATACATCAATTTCTTTTAATCAAATTGGTTAAAATTAGTTGGCTCCTGAATTCTCTGTGGAAAGCTTTATGTCATGTAGAAATTTTCACTACAATAACATTTATTATAGAACCTTACCTGTATAAGATTTAGATAAATCAAATATTAAACTTTACTAGAAAGAAGGTGTTATGGGCTGAATTGTGTCCCCTCAAAATTCATATGGCTAAGCCCTAAACACAGAAAATACAAATACAGAAAGCCATCTGACTTAATTAAAAATCTCATTAAAAGTAGTTTTCTGAAAAAAACAGCTTCATTCCATCTAAAACTTATAATGGCAGGAATAAATCAACAAAAGTATCCTTAAAAATTTTTTAATACATAGAAGTTTTAAAATTCTGTGACAGGACTGACCACACAGGTCCCAGAAAACAAAATTTAGGGCACAGTGTCCATATAATTTTAATACAACATACGCTGTCATACAGTTCTCAGAAATGCAAAATTTTCTTTTAAAATAAGTAAGAAGTACTTACTTCCTTCCTCGAAATAATGGAGAAGTTGAGGTCTGTATTGGACTAACACTCCCATATGTCAACTGCTGTAATGACACAGCCCTAGACAAGCTACCAAAAACAAAAAAAGAACAGTAGTAATAAACATTTTTTTCCTTAAAAACAAAAAACCTAATTTCAGACAAACTAAATATTCCACTTATTAAAAGAAAACAAGACATGACAGTTTCCATAACTTCAAATGTTTCAAATAAAAAAGGTTTGTGTCAAGTAGAAAATAAAATTTACAAAAGATATGGGCCAAAATATCACCATACTTACTCTGCATTCTGAAAGTTGAACTGTGCATCTATAAGCTGCTGGTGTGAATAAAGAGTTGGTGACAGGGCGAAGAAGTTATTATGTTGTTGATGGTTTGGAGTGAAAGGCGGGCGACCCAAAATTGAGTTTGGGAACATGCTCCTGTTCACTAAAAGTGAACATGTATTCCTCTACCTGGAATAGTTTTAAAAGACAAATTATTATAGCTTAAACATACTGAACTCTTTGGTAACTAGTATCTGCTATTTAAAACAATTAGTTACCAAGTTATGAATTTCATCTGCAAAGATATTTTTAAAAATTTAAATAGATCTAAGTTACACTATTGATAACAAAAAAACCAATAATGAATTTTAAATCTAAATTAACCATATTATTATTCAAATCATAGTAAAATATATGCAAGTTTCTAATTTTCTGATGAATTTACCCTAATAAATTTACCCTATAATCAATAAATCTTTTAGAAATCAAGTTATTACCACATACTTTGATAACAAAAAAGTAACTTCCTAAGAGAGACATATAATAAAAATCCTACAGATTCTTACATTTATTCCCAACCTAATTTATGCAAAAGTCGATGCCATCACATGACAATCTGATTCCTAGGATTTAGATCTTACAGATCTGATCAAAGAAGGGAAGGAATTTGTATCGCCTAATAACCATCTATAAAATTCTGAGATTCCCCTCAAAGTCTAAATAACTCATATAAAGGACTTCCAATAAAAGAGGGCTTGCTCCATAGGAATGGGGAAAACCTGTGTACAAAGCAATCAGAACCATTCACTGACCCAGGTAGGGGACTAGATATTTATTCTTTGCAATGAATGATCCCGAAAGGCTGTAAACTTACAAAAAGCAGGGTAGGGTAACAAACTGAAAAGAAGTATTAAGTAAAGTTTACAAAGTGAAAATAGGATTCCCAGCCCACCTTCCCAAAGCAGGCAATTAGAAAACTTATCTATGGAACAACTGAGAAAGAAACCATATAACACCAGTAACCAGAGAATCTATAACATAGTAACAGTTGTCCACCAAGGAAAAGTTAACCCTGCTAGCAACCTACAACGAAGCCTAGTATTGAACTGCCCACCCAGGCACACAGAGCTTCCAATTAGATTTCTTAGTATCTCCCACTTTTGGATCACCAGCAGAAAAAAAAAATCTAGAAATAAACAAAAACAATGCCAAGAACAAATAAAAACTCAAAAAAAACCTCCATAATTAATGAAAAAACACTGCATACATAAAACAAGAATTTGCCACTTAAAAAGCGGAAAGGGCTCTTGGAAATTAAAAAATAGAAAGCAGAAGTTAAAAGATAACAATGAGGAAATCTCTTAGAACAAAAAGGAAAAATTGGTGAGGGCAGAAGGGAGGCAGGACAACAGGAGAGAAAACATATGAGAATCAAACTATGTGGTGGTCCAGCATCTAATATAACAGAAGTTCCAGGAAGAACAGAGAAAATATAGAGATGAAAATTACCAAATAAACAAAACAAGACAATTCCAGGACTGAAGAACACCAAGCCTTAGATTTAAAGGACCCAATGAGTACAAAGCACAGTAACAAAAAAAAAAAAAAGATACATATTAAGGCATATTATGGTGAAATCTCAGAGTATCAGGAAAAAGAAGCTTATGAAATATTACAGAGGAGGAAAATGTTATAAACAAAGGGCTAGTCATCAAAATGGCTTTGAACTTCTCAATAGCAACAGTGGAAACCACAAGACAATGAAGTCAATGCCTTCAAGTCCCCGAAGGAAATGCTCTCAAGTTATAATTCTATACCCAGCTATATTATCACTGCAAAAGAGAATAAAAACATTTTTAGTCATGTAAGGTACCAAAAAAGAAAAAGAAAACCTGGAATCTAGGAAAAGGGAGACCCAACACAGGGCACAGACAAAATAAATTCCCCAGGATGATGATGAAGGGAAGCTAATAGCTTAAATTAGAGCAAGAGGATAAAGGGCTTCAAGAAGATACCCAACAAGGAAAAAAACTTAACTGGTAGATTACCTGATATATTTGACCCTAGAGAAGAGTGCTGCTAACAGAGCAGAAAAAATTATAGGAACAGAAAAGCAGCAGGTTAAAAACAAATGACTCAACTACAGAAAAAAAACACACTCAAAAGTTCATATAAAAAAGAACATATATTCAGTTACCTACTTGGTTGTTACAATAACACAAACATTGAAAATACTGATTTAAACAGAAATTGTAATATATTTATTTTATATAATTTACTACATATTGTATTTATTTAAAGATTAAATATATTAATATATTATATGTTATATATTTACATGTTTATATACATCACAATTTATGATGAGAAAGGGTACAAAAAGGTGCTAAATCCACATTTTCAGTAGATGTGAATGAGCTATAAAAGTTTCATTTTGTTTTGTTTTTAGGACAACAGAGGAAAATAACATGTAAGCAGTTAAAAGAAATTGTAGCTGCCTTGGGGGTTGAGACCAGATGGTTGGAAAAACTGGAGCAGGAGACAATAGGAGAGAAAAAGAGGAAGATTTGGGAAGAAACAAATCACTCATACAAACTTTGTTCCTTATTCTTTCCATTCTATAAGACTAAAACTCCCTAGGCTGGACACAGTAAGATTCACCAGTTCAAGGTTCATAACAGATTGTGGACAAGAGTCTCAGGCCACCAGGAGATCTCATCCCAAGTGCCTGACTCTCTAATTTGGACCAGAGACAAGGTGTTACCTCCAGAAAACAGGAGTTTGTCAACTTTCTTCAGCAGGCTTTATCTCTTGTTGTAGGAGATTTTTTAAAAAATCAATCCTATCATATCTGCTAAACTGTACTCCCTGATTGTCACTGCCCAGAGGAAATGGAAAATATTTTGAACAAAGCAGGACTCCAGAGAATCCTTTATTAGAAGTACACTCAGGGGCCGGCCCGGTGGCGTAGCGGTTAAGCACATGCACTCCACTGCAGTGGCCTGGGCTTCAGATCCTGGGCGCACACCAACTCACGGCTTGTGAAGCCATGCTGTGGTGGCATCCCATATAAGGTAGAGGAAGATGGGCACAGATGTTAGCACAGGGCCAGTCTTCCTCAGCAAAAAGAGGAGGATTGGCATCGGATGTTAGCGCAGGGCTGATCTTCCCCACAAAAAAAAAAAGTACACTTTTTTTAGAATGCCAGTTTCAAAACTGGCAACATTATAATGCCATGTTCTTCCCTTTGCCTGGGTTCACACTCTTTTCTGGTCTTCTTTACCCTGGTTCCCTGACTCAAATCCCCATAAAACATAATTCCTATTTCATAGGATTCATGATAAAATGACATTAAATACAAATCATTATAATGAATTTTGCTTGATATTTCATTTTGCTGGAATATAGATACTATAGATCTGATCAAACAAGGGAAGGAATTTGTGTTCAGAAAAACTAGAATTAAAATATTCTATTTTCATATTTATTTAATTCAGTTCATAGTTAAAATTCTACACACTTTGTTTATACTTATAAATACTATGCTTGTGTTTTTCTTCTGGAACCAAATAAAGTCTTAAACACAAGCATTCAGACTTGAAGAACCAAAATGACATAATAACCCAGACCTCACCTTATTTCTATATCATTACATGGTAAGATCCAAAATAAGTCAAAAGATGTCTTGTGGCCCAGAAGTACTCTAATAACCAAATTATCCAAGGCTTAAAAGCTTGGAATGATTCTATAACCAAAAAGTTTACTTTAGGGCAGTTATCGAGTTCAGCATATCCTAAATTTCCAGATAAGCATCAAAGCTTTTAGAGTCCCTCCAAAACAACGTATCTGTTGGGTACTCCTCAATATGAATCTTAGCCCTCAAGTCTGACTCTTAACCAGGCTAGCCCTCGAAGTGGAGAGGATCATTCCTAGGGAATGTAACCAATGGCATTCAATGCTCCCCAACATAGGTATCCCGTACAACCATCTAGAGATAGGGAAGTAAACCAAAAGCCCATGAATTTCAATTCCTCTTTCTAATATTTTTTCTAACACATTTCAACACTGATTTTTTTTTTTTTTTTGAGGGAGACTGGCCCTGAGCTAATATCTGTTGCCAATCTTCCTCCTTTTTTCCTTTTTTATTTTCTCCCCAAAGCCCCAGTAGATAGTTGTAGGTTATAGCTGTACATCCTTCTAGTTGCTCTATGTGGGACACTGCCTCAGCATGGGCTTGATGAGCAGTGCGTAGGTCCACGCCCAGGATCCAAACGAGGGGAACCCCTGGCTCCAAGGCGCAGAGCGGGAGAACCTAACCACTACTCTGCTGGGCCAGCCCCTTCAACACTGATTTTGATGAAGATAAAAATGACGCCAAAATAATAATCTATCGTAAACAATATAAGGGAACATTTTTAAAACAGAATAGAGTTTAAGAGTATAAAATCCAGCAAAACTATTACTGTACCAAAATTAATGGGACCTCCACAAAATTTTGAATCTTTTTCTTTATTTTCTGAATGAAAGACTTCTTCACTAAGTAGAGAATGATCTATATAAAACACTACTCCACATCAATAAATAAAATTGAGATATTGGCGGTATCCTATTTTTCTTAGCTGGAAAGTTACCAGTGTCTCAATCTGTACTTTATAACAGAATAATCGAGGTAAATTTTGAACTGTTTTACAACTGTTGCATTGGTTCTTGCCTTAAGGAGAGAATCTCTTGACTAACGTTGACCCAATGGGAAATTATACAGGTTTATTTGTAAATAACTGAACATGAGACAAGGCTGTAATGGAGTAGTTTATAAAGTAATTCCTAGCGATATAGTATCTGGTCCTGTAACTTACAACCTGGAATTTCTGTCCTAAACTTGATCTCTCCTCCAATGAATTAGAGAACACTCAAGGTTACATAATTCCTTCATCAGGATTCCCTGGAAAGCAGAATCTAGCTAGTATAAAAACCAGAACTGCAGTGGCTAAACCAAGTTATCTGTCCACTTTGTCCAAACGCATTTGATCTCCTAAACTCACTTCTTTTCTCCACCAGCACTAAGTCCAGTTCCTAAATCCTGCTCGCTCCCTGTCAAAACCACCTCTACGTTTTGAAAAAAACGTTCCTGTTTATTAAGAATTAGACTCCATCCAAGTGTTAACAAATAATCTAGTCACAGGGTTCCAAACGGACATTTCTAAAACGAATGATAAATGGACTGTTTCACGTGGAGCCTGTTAGACAACATTTCCAGATCAGACATAATTGGGGCTATCACACCGACAAAATAATGTTACTATTACTGGCTATTAATCAGCACCCATTAAGAGCCTTTTGGCTGTTCATCAACACACGTTCACAGCCTTGCGGTAATAAACCACACGATACGATGGTATTTACAAAAACAGTATGTTACGTGTAATACAAACACACAGACAGCGTTCAGTCATGATCTTTCCTCACAAAACCATATATCACACATGCGTTACCCGTTGCCAATTTAGCTTGAGTTTTACAGTTTCTGTTTTGTTCCCCCTGTTGGTACACGCAAACTAAACAAACGACCGCAATTTTACACAAAGAGCGGAGAGAGACAAAACAAGACGGGTTACGCGGCTAATCCAGAAGTTGAGAGGCACATAAACCCCTCGCGTTCTGGCCCAGAGAGAGACGAAGAGCCACCCACAGGGGCCGAGGGGTGGGGCGGGTGTGCGACAATCTGACGAGTCCTAACCCGCGCACTTTCCTGTGCAGCGGCGCCCATTTAATGAAAAGCCCCAAGTTTTAAATTACTAATCCAGATATTTACCTTAGTTCTTCACCACCCTCTGAAACACCATGGAGGGGTCCCAAGGCAATCTTCCTTTCCGGTCCTAGACTGAGGACGGGGCGGGGAAGAGAAAGGAGTGGGACAAGGAAGCGGTCCTGAGATTCCTCAGCAAGTCCCGCAGCCGGGGGCCGCCCAACAGTCTGGGATCTCAGAGAAACGGCCGGAACCTCCCACGCGAAGCACAACTGCACAGTTTCAGGAAAAGTTCCCCGTGCCCCGCCCCCGGCCTGGGCCCACACGGCGGCGCCCCTCTCCGAAGCCCCCTAACTCACGGCGTCCTCGCGGAAGGGCTGCACAGGGCCCCCCGGCACTGCCCGCCCGGGAGCTCCAAAGCGGGGGCAGCACGGTCGTGGCTTTCGCCCGAACCAGAGGAGGCAGTGGCCCGCGGAATGGTCGGGCCCGGCTCCGGACCCTAACTGCGATCTGAACTCCGGGATCGGCGGCCGGGGAGGAGCGACACAAGAAGAGGCAGGGCCAGGACGGGTGTGGGAGGTGGGGGCAGTAGCAAGAAGCGGAAGACCAAAAAGTCGCCCAAAGAGCGGCGTCGAAAGCCCTGTCAGAAACACCCGGAAGACCGACGTGACCCCGGATGGGAACAGCGAGCAGGGAGCAAGAGGTTACACTTCCGGCAGCCGCCTCGCCCCCGCCTAGGAGCTCTTTGCTCTAATGCGCAGGCGCACGACTGCTGCGAGTCCCGGCTTGGGGGGAGGTGCCCGCTCGGCTCCCAGCGAGCGGGAGCTGGTGGCCAGAGGGCTGGGGCTGCTGAGACAAGGGGGATTGGGCAGTGGGCAGAGGGCTGGCCGCTGAGGGCTGCTCTGGGCCCCTGCCCAAGCTCACGCACAGCAGCTCTTGTTCTGATAAACATTTTTTTACTGATCCTTCGTGTCTCAGCCGCGTGACTCCTCCCCAGAGAAGCTTTTCCTGACCCAGTTTTTCCTAACTCTTCTGCGCCGATCGGTATTAAGCTTTATTTGATGTTTTTCCCCTGCAGTGAATTGAGATCTGCTTGGGGATGAAAATGCCTTATTTATCTCTAAAGCCTGGACTCAGCGCCCTGCCCATAGTAATAGCTAACATTCCCCAATTCCACAAATATTTAATATTTCTCCTTGAGTGAACTTTAATAGTTGTGAAAATATCTAAGTTGTTGACTTTATTGCTGTAAATCTGTTAACAATATTCCTTTATTGTCCTTTTAGTATCTATAGAATCTCGCCCCTCTCATTCCTGAAATTGGTAATTTATGTCATCTTTCTTTTTTCCTGATCAATCTGGGGAGAGGCTTATCAACTTTACTGATCTCAAATCTCAAAGCCAGCTTTTGCTTTCATGGATTTTCTCTGTTGTTTTTGTTTTTTATTTCATTGATTTCTGCTCTTAGATTTATTTCCTTTTCTTTTTTTTTAATTTTTAAAGTTTTTTTTAATTGATTTTTCTAGTTTTCTTAACTTGGAAACTGACGTCATTTATTTGAGATGTTTCTTCTTTTGTAATACAGACATTTGGTGGGCTAAGTGTCCCTCAAAGTACTGCTTTGGCTGCATCCCACACATTTTGATATATTGTGTTTTTATTTTCCTTCATTTCAGAATACCTTCTAATTTCCCTAAAGACTTTTTCTTTGACCCATGGGTTATTTGTAAATGTGTCATATAGTCTCGAAATATTGAGGGATTTTCTAGATATCTTTCTGTTATTGATTTCTCATTTAATTCCATTATGATCAGATAACATACTTTGTATAATTTGAATCATTTTAAATTTATTGAGACTTGTTCTGTGTCCCAGAATATGATCTGTATTGGCAAATGTTCAGTGTGCATTTAAAATAAATGTGTATTCTGCAGTTGTTGGGTGAAATGTTCTACAAATGTCAATCACATCAAGTTGGTTGATATTATTGTTCAAATCTTCTAAATACTGGAGGATTTAGCACATGTGGATTTTTTGTCTACTCATTCTATTAATTATTAAGAAAGGAGTATTGAAATCTCTGACTGTTATTATGGATTTTTCTAGTTCTTGCTGTTCTATTAGTGTTTGCTTCATGTATTTTTGAAGCTGTGCTATTAGATGCATAGACATTTAGAATTGTTCTATTATTAAGATTAATTTATCCTTAATGAAATTGATTATGAAAATTATTTTGTCATTATGAAATGATCCACTTTATAAATGATCCTCTTTTTGCCTGGTAATATTCTTTGATCTAAAGTGTAATTTGTCTGATGGTAATACATCCACTCCAGCTTTCTTTTTTATGGTGTTAACATGGTATATTTTTAAAGGAAAAAGTAATTCCAATTCTACAAAAGTCCTCCAGAAAGTTGAAGAAGAGGAAATACAAGGCCAGCATTACTCTGATACCCAAACCCAAGATGGTACAAGAAAAGGAAACTACAGACCAATATCCCTATAAACATAGATGTAGAAATTCTTAACAAAATTCTGGCTATTTTTGTTCCACAATGTATAAAAAAGATAATACATCATGACCAAATGGAGGCTTATCCCAGAAATGCTAGGTTGAATTAACATTGGAAAATCAAACAATATAATTCACCATATTAACTAAGACTAAGAAAGGAAAACTATATGATTGTTTCAATAGATGAAACAAAAGCGTTGGACAAAATCCAATATCCATCCCTAGGAATACAAGGAAAATTACTCAACTTGATAGAAAGCATCTATAAAAAACAACACACTTAGTGGTAAAGAACAGAATGCTTTCACTCTAAGATCAGGAACAAGGCAAGGATTTATGCACTCAGAAATTCTTCAGCATTGTACCGGGGGGCCTAGCCTGTGCAATAAGGCAAGAAAAAGAAATAAAAGGCATCCAAATTGGAAAGGAAGAAGTAAAACTGGCTTTACTTGCAGATGACATGATCTAGGGTGAAAAATCCTATGTAATCTAGAAAAAGCTACTGGAACTTTTGAATGAAATCAGTAAGACTACAGGATATAAAAAATCAATATACAAAAGTCACTTGTATTTGTATTATACAAACAATGAATAATCTGAAATTGAAATTAAAAATATCATTTAAAATAACATCAAAAATATGAAATACTTAGGGATAAGTTTTATAAAAGCTAGACAAGTTGTACACTGAAAATACAAAATACACTGAAAGAAATTTAAGAAGAGTCAAACAGAAAGATATACTATGTTCATGGGTCAGAAAACTCAATACTGTAAAAATGTCAGTTCTCCCCCAAATCGATCTATAGATTCAACACAATCTCAATCAAAATCCCAGCAAGCTTTCTTTAGTAATTGAAAAGATAACTCTAAAATTTACATGGATATGCAAAGGACCTAGAATAACCAAAACAACTTTGAAAGAGAAGAAAAAAGTTGGAGAATTTATACTACACTATCTGATTTTAATATTTCTTATAAAGCTACATTAATCCAGATAGTATAGAATTGGTATAAAGAGAAAGAAACAGATGGGTGAAACTGAATAGAGTTCAAAAAAAGTCCCACATGTCTATATGATCAATTGACCTTCAACAAGGGACAAAGGCAATACAGTGGAGAAAAGAAAGACTTTTCAGCTAATAATGCTGGAACATTTGGATATTCATAGGCAAAAATTAGTAAATAAATAAAATCTCATACTATATGTGAAAACACAAAATGGATCATAGATCTAAATATAAAACTTAAAACTTGTGGCAGAAAACAGGAAAAAATATTTGTGACCTTAGGCTAGGCAAAGATTTCTTGGATATGATACCTAAAGCACTATCCTTAAAAGAAAAAAAGTGATAAATTGAACTTCTTCAAAATTAAATACTTCTTTTCCATAGACACCGTTAATAGAATGAAAAGACTAGCCCAAAACTGAAGAAGATATTTGCAAATCACATATCTGATAAAGAATTTATGTCCAGAATGTATATTTTAAAAAACTCTCATACCTCAATAATAAGAGAATAAGTAATCCAGTAAACAAATGGACATAAAGTTTGAATAGACACGTCACCAAAGAAGCCATATAAATGGCAAATAAGCACATAAAAAGATATCCAACATCGTGAGTTATTAGGGAAATACAAATTAAAAATGCAATGAAATACCACTACCTACCTATTTAATGGTAAAATAAAAAGACTATCCATACCAAGTGTTAGTGAGAATGTGGAGTGACTGAAACTTTCATACACCACTAATGGGAATGTAAAATGGTACAAGCTCTTTGGAAAATGCTTTGGCAGCTTCTTAAAAAGTTAAACATGTGACCCAGGCATTCCACTCTTAGGTATTTGTCTAAAAGAAATGAAAGCATGTGTTCACATAAAGACTTGTACACAAATGTTCATAGCAACTGTGTTCATAATAGGCAAAAACTGGAAACAACACAGATGTCCATCAACAAGTGAATGGACAAACAATTCATGATATAGCCATACAATGGAATACTACTCAGAATAAAAGAAAATTGACTATTGATATACACGCAATATGGATGACTCTCAAAATAATTATGATCGGTGAAAGAAACCAGCCAAAAAATAGTACATACTATTTGATCCCATTTATATAAAATGCCAGAAAATGCAAACTAATCTTTAGTGAGAAAAAGGAAGTCATTGGTAGCCTGGAAAATGGGAGGGTGGAGGTGGAGGGCTGAGAGGGGCAAACTGGAAAGATTGCAGAGAAGTACAAGGAAATTTTGGGACTGATATTCATGTTCATTATCTCGATTGTTGTGATAATTTCATGTGTGTTTTCATATGTAAAATCATGTACAACTTATTTTGTGTCAATTATACCTGAAAAAAGCTGGTAAATTAAAAAAAGAAAAGAAAAGAAAAACCTATTGGTCCACTTTGCACATTGAATGAATCATTTAAACTATGTCTGATTTTAACATCCTACCTACAGGGGTCAGTTGGAAATATTGGTTCAGTGAGTTATGCAGATCTTCCAAATGTTGACCTATTTCATCCTACGCTATCAAAAAATCATGTTTGTTAATATCACGTCCAATCTCATCAGAAGAATCTTTAAGTATTTGGAAGCTGTCAAGATCATAGTGATGATGTAACTCTTAAAAAAATCTTATTTTTGTTGAAAGCTAAATTATATCAGTGACAAATACTATCAATTGTTTTCCTTGAACTGATAGTTTTACTTCATTTATTTTTGAGAAAATATTTGCCGGATATCCAACTCTAAATAACCAATTTGTCTGTCAATAGATATTTTAATAAAAAATGATGTTCTATAATAAAAGCAGCTAGTTCAGCTTGCAACTCAAACAATCCCACGAGTGCTTTTCCTTGAGACAATCATAGTTCTTTGGTATGCAGAAAAGGGCCTTACGAATACTTTCTATGTTCTCATACAGAATATTTAAAAAGACGTGAATTCAAGAGTGAATATTTAGGGCCAGCCCAGTGGCATAGTGGTTAAGTCCACGCGCGCTCCGCTTCTGGCGGCCAGGCGTTCACAGGTTTGGATGCCGGGTGCTGACCTACGCACCACTCATCAAGCCACACGATGGCAGGCAACTCACATAAAGTAGAGGAAGATGGGCACGGATGTTAGCCCAGGGCCAATCTTCCTCAGCAAAAAAGAGGAG